ATTTTATAATGAATGATTTTAGAGTGTTGTTTGTGCTGTACTTTTGTACTGTTTTATTGTTGTTAGCCGCCCTGAGCCCGGCTTCGGCTGGGGAGGGCGGGATATAAATAAAATTTATTATTATTATTATTATTATTATTATTAATGATGTTTATAGATGCTGAAAAAGCATTTGACAATGTTTCTTGGGATTTCATGAAAAAAATGCTTGAAGAAATTTATTGTGGACCTAATGTTTTAAAAGGAATATAAGCAATATACGCAGAACAAAATGCCAAATTAACTGTAAACCAGGTGAGAATGGAAGAATGTAAGATTCAAAAAGGAACTAGACAAGGATGCCCACTATCACTGCTGTTGTTTATTCTGGTCCTGGAAGTACTTGCAAGAAACATAAGAGTAGATAAAGAGATTGTAGGGATAAAAACTGGAAAAAGTGAATTTAAATTGAAAGCATATGCTGATGAGTTAGTAATTATGGTGGAGGATCCAAAAAATTCTCTTCCAAGAGTGATAGAAAAGATTCAAGAATTTGGGGGAGTGGCAGGATTTAAATTAAATAGAAACAAAACTAAATTATTAGTAAAAAATTTGAAGGAAGAAGAGAAAAAAGAGTTGATGCAAAGTATTGAGATAGAAGTTCATAAAAAAGTGAAATATTTAGGGATTTGGCTAACAGCAAAAAACATAAATGTCTACAAAGACAATTATGAAAAAGGAATTTAGAAATGTACCTCTCCCTACTAGGAAAAATAGCAGCGATAAAAATGAACGTATTGCCAAAAATGCTCTTTCTCTTTCAGACAGTCCCAGTAATGGTGAAAGATGACTGCCTCAAAAAATGGCAGAAGGACATTTCGAAGTTTGTCTGGGGGGGCAAAAGGCCAAGGATTAAACATAAAATACTTACAGATACAAAAGAAAGAGGCGGTTTTGCTCTCCCAGACCTTAAATTGTACTATGAGGCTGCATGTTTGGTGTGGATTAGGGACTGGATAAAACTGGAAAAGGAAGACGCATTAGATTTGGAAGGTCATGATAACACATTTGGATAGCATGCATACTTATGGTATGGGAAAGGAAAAGTACATTAAAGATTTTACAACCATATAATCAGGAGATCACTAATGAGGGTGTGGGAGAGATATAAAGATCTAATAGACCAAAAACGCCCTGGTGGCTATCACCAATTGAAGCTTTGTTACTCAAAAAGGGGAAGTGGCCTACATATATACATTTGCTGAAGGATCAAGAAGGGAAATGGCAATTAAAAGAATATGAGGAAATTAAAGATCATTTTCAGAGTTGGTTACATTACAGACAACTACATGAGATGTACAAAGAAGACAATAAGAAAGGGTTTAGCTACACAACTTCTAGATTTCAAAAGAAAGTTATAGAAGAGGAAGGAAAGCTGTTGAAGAAAGCATATAGTATTTTGCTAGAATGGGAAACAAAAGATGAAGAGGTTAAATCGGTCATGATCTATAAATAATTTTTATTAAGTTTCATATTACCAAATTAAACACATCAAATCAATTAGTCCAAATTATAACAATACATATCATGTAGTCCAATTATTTTCCAAATTATAATTTTTTTGTGGGGGGTACCCATGCTTTTGGATCGGCAGGAGTCCAATCCTCAACTGTTTTCTGCTGCTTTCATATTAAGAATGATATTTCCAGACCCCTTTTCTCAATGCTTATCATTCCTCATTTTCCTTTCCTTTCACCTCCGAATTGCTCCGCAAGTGGGTTGAAACAAAACAGTCTTGTTTGTATTTCTGTGTGGACTTTATACTGCTCTCTCGTAAATCCCAATAGTCTGAACAGTTCCGCTTGAGCAAGCCATCGCCATCTTGTCTTCCGATGAAATGCAGTCCAAAAGCTTGCTCTTTAGCTTTCCCGACCTGTTGCATCGTAAATTAGTCTTTATCCAGGAGGGCTGCCCCTTCCAGATCGCAATCTCGTCGAAAATAATAAATCTTCGGCTAGCCCTTCCCCAAGACCAAACCTTCCTGCAACACAGGTCTCGTATCAAATCTCCATTTTAACTGCATCACAAAAGAGAGCCCTTCTTCTTTCCAAGCCCTTTACAGAGTAAAACCTTTATCTTATTATTCCCACACAGTTTGTTTTCAATCCCATTTGCCAATTAGTTGCTGTGACGGATCTTCTAAGAGGGAGGGTTATTAATTAATCACATAGAGGGGAAAAAGATAAAAAGTCATTCCCCCCTCTTTCAGTTCCGTTGCACTCCAATCCACATACCAGCTTGTCTGCAGTACTTGATGTAATCTTCCGTCTCAGTCTTCTTCATTTCGGTGGTACGATTGTTAGCAGATCAAGACCTCCTGCCTCTCTTGAAGCATGTGCGTTATCTTTCACCAATTTTTTTTTCCTTTTAAGTAACGCAACTAGTTTCGCTCCTGGAAGTAGCTTCGGAGGAGTTCCGAGGCCCGCTGAGGGTTATGCACCCAGTGCCTCACCCCCTCCTTCTTCCGAACTCGGGGGTGATTTATGGCAACAGCGGGTGAAAACTGCATCTCTCCCCCCTGGAAAGATGTTAGGGAGACTGATTTACTCCCCATAATCAGCCTCTAATTACCTCGTGCGGGCTGGATAGATGTTAATATCCGCCATCTTTCAAGGCGCCCCTAGCGGCCCCCCCCCCCTAAATCGGTCATGATCAAATGGGCACAAGATATAGGACTTAACATACAATTTGTGGACTGGGAAAAACTGTGGAAAATAAATTTGAAATTTACTGTTGGGTTGAAATAACGACAGACGAGTAGCAAGTGTCATGTGAGAGGCATCTCTCGAGCAAGCCCCGAGGAGACTCTTTTATTGAATATTCCAACATTGCCACAGGTGCGCTCGTTGCTGATTGGTTAACACAAGTACAAAGCAAAGGTTACATATAGGCATTAATCACCAATAGATTAAAGGCTGGGAAAGGGAGCACAGAACTAGACAGGCATGAAACCTCCTAATTAAATTATAACTAATGATTGATATAGCAAGACTAAAACAATTACTAATGATTGATCATAACATGAAAGAATACAACAATCACGTTCCGTAGATGTGGTCAGCAATGCATTAAGAACAGGTCAGGGTACACTGTTTCATGAACTCAATGGGAACTGTTCAGAACATTCTCAGACTCATGTGCAGAGGCAAAAACTTCCCAGCATCTCCCCCTTTCTTTTCTTATTTGCGAGGGGTTACTGTATGATTTCTGGGTGAATAAGACAAAAATACTTTGGGATACGTGGTATGCCAGCGCATGCCCGAAATAAGTTCGCCAGGGTTGACGGGACAAAAATACTTCGGGATACGTGGTATGCCAGCGCATGCCCGAAATAAGTCCGTCCACATCTCCCCTAATGTTTACTGTTGGTGCTGCCATTTCGCAAAGTAGGCAGCAATGATTTTATTGGGTGGCTGAGGGGGAGAGAGAAGCCGAGACAAAAGACTTATGAGTCCAGGAATGCATTGGAGGAAGCAACATAGCAAAATTAATATACATATTATGACAATGGCCTATTGAAAGAGATTATGAAGCCAAGTCAGGTTTGGCAATCAGCGGTAAGCCACTGGGTGAAAGAATCCCAGAGGCCAGAAAATCCAACGTCCTGTTTAATGTGGTGTGTAAGATTTTGCAAATGAGAGATTTGGCTTTGAATGGCTTTAGAATTATCAGTAATATTGAAACAACACATGTCAGCCACTTGTTCACAGCCATAATGATGAAGCATCAATAAATAATCGATAGCAGCGCGGTTTTGCAGAAGGCCATGCTGGAGTTCACCCTGTTCTTCATTCAAAAGGTGAAGAGCTTGAGAAGTATAATTCAGGGCTTTTGCTGCAGAACAAGCTAAAGAGTTAATGTTCCTACTATTGCGTACAGCCAATCCAGGGACTCCTAGGAGAGAAACAGCTAAAGAGATATATTCAGACCTACTGGGAAGAGAAATTGAATTGTCACAATCGTTAGTCAATTCAATAGAGAGGCGATATCGAGAGCGGATCAAATGATGCTTTTTGGGTAATACGATGGACAAACGGCTTAAGCAACAGGGTGTGCCATGGCTGATGTATTGTTGGCACATGGTAGGGGAATTCAGCATTCCTTGCGGTAGGACTTTCCATTGATACCGTTCCGTGGGCTGGCTGTTATTTAACACAGGAACAGTGAAAGCAAAGAATTTACAATTGAGGGGGAGTGCAAGCTTACTCATTAAATTGAATGGTAGCTTGTAATTGTTGTAGTACGTCTCTGCCCCACAGATTGAGGTGGATTTTCAGAACACAGAGCTGGATATATGCAATGGTTTCAGAGCTATCAGGCAGAGAAACAGGCAGCCACTGTATGCTTTTGGAAGAGGTTTGAGCTCCACCTACACCCCAAACTGCAGAGGCAGACTCAAGGGGCCACGTGGGGTCCCAGCAACTACTGGAAATTACAGAAATGTCCGTGCCCGTTTCAATCAAGCCTTCCAGAACCGTGCCATTGATTTTATACTTACGAAGAAGCTTCTGTTCACCAATCCGCTGGATTACAGCTAACAGCTGGGGGGGGGGAAAGAAGAGAGCTCGTGCAAATTACTATCCATAATAGAAGCAGTAGGGTGAGAAGGGAGCACCACCAAATGCGCCCAGGACTCACCCTTCTTTAACTGCATGGGCATATGGCTCCAAAGTTGAACCATTATTGTGCCCACATAGTCAGGATCCAGGACTCCTGGAATAACCTGGATTCCTTCTTTGGCCGCAGAAAATTTGGGTAAAATTAAGCCTGCGACTTTAGGAGGTAGTGGGCCTGCCAATTGGGTGGGCATAAGCACAATTTCACCAGGTAAAACAGTGTCTTTTGTCTCTTGATTGATCAAATCAATGGCAAATTCAGAGGGTGTATTTTTAGAAAATTTTTCAGCAGCGGAAACTAAAGGTGGAAAGCTCTCTATTTGTCCTGGCCCGAGAGTGGGGCCGCTATGGAGTTTCCCGGACTCCTGCATTGATTAGCCCAATGATAGCCTTTCCCGCATTTCGGGCATTTTTTGGAAGGTTTAGCCTTGTTGGCATCACCATTCCTGTTTGCCCCCCCGCCAGGGGCTCTGCATTGTTTAGCGAAATGGCCTGGGCGCTTGCAATTGAAGCAGTTGCCGGTAGGCGGATTGCACCGGCAAGCAAAGACATCGCATGGCTCTGGCTACCAACATCCGCACAAGCTTGAATCTTATCGGCCAGGTCATATTTAGGGCGATGTATGATTGACTGCAACGCTTTCTTGCAATCGGTGTTTGCATTTTCAAAAGCCAATTTTTTCATCAATTCATTTTGAGCTGTAGTGTTATCAATCTGCCTAGTGACTGATTCTTTCAATCTATCTATAAACTGATGGTAGGGCTCCGAATGCTGTTGCTTAATATTGACAAAGGAGCTCAGCGGTTGCCCTGAGACAGGGACTTTCCGAAAGGCGCATTGTACACAGGTCGCGGTGCGACTAAAATGTAAAGGTGTCAGCGTCGCCTGGGCTGGTATATTATCATACGGACCCGCGCCATAAAGTTGATTGGCTGAATGCTGTGGATCAGACAGGGCTGATGCGCTATGTTTAAATTCACTCTCAAACACCACATACTGAGCCGGGGATAAAAGCATGCGCATCAGATCTTTCCAGTCTTGAGGTAGCATTGTATAACCATTTGCTATTCCCTCTAGCATTCCTATTACATAAGAGGATTTTAGACCAGAATCAGTAATGGCTTTCCTTAATTCTCTCATTACAGAATAAGGAAGCGTCTCGTACAATACCTGCTGTTGAGCAGTTCCTGGGTTTGTATAGGTGATAGGGAAAGCAGATGGCATTTCACCAGCCCATTCAGACTCTTCCTCTAAGGACAGGAGCCCTTTTTGCCTAGCCAGAGAAAGTGCAGTGCGCACAGCTCCTGTAGAGCATGCAGGGGCTGTGGCAGGCGAAGGAGGGATGGGGGGGAGGATGTGGGCTGAGACGGTTGAGGCGTAGGGAGGGGTTGGCAGGGTTACGAAGGAGGCAAAAGCTTTGGGTAAGGTGGGGGATTGTCTGCAACGGCTAAAAGGGCAGGAGCCAAAGGAGATGCCTGAGGTCCTAATTTAGCAACGGCATCTGCACATTTCTGCCAAGTGAGCAGACAATGAATCGGAGCCCTCGGTTCTGCAAAGAGGGTTTTTCCGATCTTCTGCCAAGTTTCTATCCCCAAAGAACCTGTTTCAGGGTACCAGGGGCACTGGCAAGCAATCTCACATAACAACCTTTCAATTTCTTTTAAATAAATATGGGCACCCGCCACCCGCTGTCTAACGAGATGGAGCAATTCCTTGGCATGCTTCTTTTGGAATGTAGTCAATTCCCCCCCCCCCATACTCACGAAATAGCGTGCTGAGACTTTTCCAGTCGAGTGAAGTATGAGGCTGCGTAAAGGGATCTGGCACGTCGAGGGTCACCAGATGTTGGGTTGAAATAACGACAGACAAGTAGCAGGTGTCATGTGAGAGGCATCTCTCGAGCAAGCCCCGAGGAGACTCTTTTATTGAATATTCCAACATTGCCACAGGTGCGCTCGTTGCTGATTGGTTAACACAAGTACAAAGCAAAGGTTACATATAGGCATTAATCACCAATAGATTAAAGGCTGGGAAAGGGAGCACAGAACTAGACAGGCATGAAACCTCCTAATTAAATTATAACTAATGATTGATATAGCAAGACTAAAACAATTACTAATGATTGATCACAACATGAAAGAATACAACAATCACGTTCCGTAGATGTGGTCAGCAATACATTAAGAACAGGTCAGGGTACACTGTTTCATGAATTCAATGGGAACTGTTCAGAACATTCTCAGACTCATGTGCAGAGGCAAAAACTTCCCAGCAATTTACAGATTGTTTTCTCTTGAAAGAAATCTATACAAAAATGATGTACAGATGGTATATCACACCAGTACAAATAGCAAAAATGTACAAAACCAGGTCAAACATATGCTGGAAATGTAAAGAAAAAGAAGGTACTTTTATCATATGTGGTGGGAATGCAGAGAATTTTTTTAAAAAATGGGAAATGATATTCAATGTATTGAAAAAAAGTTCAAAATGACATTTGTAAAAAAACCAGAAGCATTTTTGTTAGGGATTGTAGGACAAGAAATGCCAAGAAAAACAAAGAATTTATTTATGTATGCCACAACAGCGGCAAGAGTCTTGATTGCACAAGAATGGAAGAATGAGGAAATCCCAACGAAAGAACAATGGCAAGAAAAATTGGTGAACTATGCAGAGCTGGCTAAATTGACATACAAATTGCGGGACAAGGACAACTATGACTTTAATGAAGAATGGGAGCTTTTTACAAATTATCTAAAAAGACAACAAAATGAACTGGACTCCTTGGCAGGTTTTGAATAAACATCCACAAATTTATTAGGTGAACATATGATAGACAAAATAAAGATATGTACAATTTTATAAGATGCAGAGAGTGATATGTGCAAAAAAAACAGAAAGGGGAGCGGAGGGAAGTCTTTGGTGGGAGGAAGAGGGAGGGATGGGGGGAAGGGGGAAAAACAATGTAACTGATTAAATGGATTAATAATTTGTTATGTTGAAACTATTCAATAAAAATTAAAAAAGAAAGAAAGCCGCACAGGCAGCTATCTGATGTAGATCCCACCTTCTCCCCTTCCCTCCCTCCACCCCTCCCTAAAAGAAAGCTATGCAGGCTGCTATCCAATTTAGATCCCACCTTCTCCCCTTTCCTCCCTCCACTCCACCCCCAAAGAAAACTACACAGGCTGCTATCCGAGGTAGATCCCGCCATCTCCACTTACCTCCCCCCAACACCCCCCCCCCAAAGAAAGCAGCACAGGCTGCTATCCGATGTATTTCCAGCCTTCTCCCCTTTCCTCCCTCCACTCCACCCGCAAAGAAAGCTATGCAGGCTGCTATCTGATGTAGATCCCATCTTCTCCCCTTTCCTCTCTACACTCTACCCCCAAAGAAAGAGCGTAGTTCAGCCTACACTTCAGTAGGACCCTGGCAGAGACACATGCCCGACTGGCATGTTCTCTCCCTCCTGGTCGATCGTTGGGGAGCTTCATAAGCTTTCTTCAGCCTGAACATCACAGCGACTGATGCCAACCGACACCGGCTCACTTAGGGATCCACAGAGTTTGCGCATCATGCGCGTGACATACCTCAGCAACTCAGCATGTTGGCTAATCTACTTTGTTTACATATAAACACACACGGAGCACTGCAACATGGCTCCCTCTCTTTCTAGCATCAGACAGCAAAGAGAAAAAGGACAAAGGACAATAGTCCCACTTCACGGAACACAGTAACACAAACATCCTGTCTCCGTCACTTCCCACTCTGTGGAGTCAAAACATATACCGTCATGGGAAAGATAAAAATCCCATGACTGCAATCACAGATCAGGAATTCTAACATCCTCCCCCAATTCATGCACTGTGTTGCAGTCATCAGTGTAACTGCAACAACCATACAGATGTCATACACACAGTATACCCCTGTATCACCTGTTCCACCCTTGGAACTACCTGCAACTGGCCTGGCCTTGGGCCACACCATCTTGCACTTCTGACTAGTCTTGGCGTCATAACACTTCTGACTATCAGGAAGTCTCACACCTAGCTTTGTTGGGACTCGACCCCTAGCCTTGTTCCCCTCTGAGGAATCAGTGCAGGCACACACGGCCTCTGGACGTGGTTCAGCTTCCTTCTCCAAGGAAACACTGTCTACCCTTACAGCCTTTGGGCATGGTTTCCCATCCCTTGAGGACAAACCCTGTACCCCTTTCAAGACTCCCGGTTCCAAGACCTGTGTCAAGCCACTAACCACAGCTAAATCTGCAACAGCTGTGTTAGCAAACTCCTGAGCATACCTGGTGGGTCTCCTCCACTGTATCAGTGGAATTCACCTCAGTGCACCTGCTGTTTATAACAGCAACAGACTTAGTATCTAAGTCTTCAGCAATGGGGTAGTCTAGGAAAATACACACATTCCCCCCCCCCCGCTCTGTAGTCAACATTCCCAGTGAGTATAATCAGCTTGGCATCAGGCCTCAGAACTACTATGTCTATTCAGAAGATTTATTGCTTCTCTGTCCAGCTACGCCCCGCCTGCCAGCTCTGCTGATAGCGTCTGCAGCTTCTGTTTTCCAGCGTAGCGTCGGGAGAAAGCAATTAAGCAGAATGCACAGCGTCTGTGTGAGAAAGGGCAGTAAATCAGTCCAGACGTTTCTTCTAATCTAGAAGCTCTTTATTTACATGCCAAACAGTCAAACACTCCACCAAAGAATTCGGACATCCTTCTCAGATGAGAGTCGCAATCCAACTAAAAACGAAAGCACTCTTTCACAGCATAACAGCTGACGTAACGTCCTGGCTGACTTCCTCTGTAAGCCCGTCCCCTCAAGCACGAGACACAGAAGGTTAACCCTTCACTACACCCAACACCGCCTCTTGTCTCGCGCCTGAGGGGGAATATTGACCCTTGGTCACCCCAAACCCAGACCTTCGCAAAACTCCCCATGTCTTTGGAAGTAGAGTGGCTTCGTGAACCCATCAGCGAGGTTCTTGGCAGAGGGACAGTACTTCAGCGCAACTAACCCCTCCTGAACACTCTGACACACATTCTGAAAGCGAATGTCTAGGTGTTTGGTCCTGGCCTTGAATTGACCCGTCTCGGCCAAACGAAGGCATGGTTGATTGTCTTCGAAGACACGTATCGGCAGACAATCCACTCCGCAGAGTTCCTGGACCAAACAAGCATAGAACTCTACTTCTCTGAACACCTCTGAAAGAGCACTGAACTCAGCCTCAGTGGATGAGAGCGCTATAAGACTCTGCTTCTTGGACCTCCACCCAACTACCGAGTTCCCAAACTTCACCACTAGGCCAGACACGGACTTGCGATCCTCAAGATTAGCCCAATCTGAGTCCACAAAACAAGTCAGTTTGACTTCACCTTGCGCTGGCAACCTAAGACAAAAGTCTTTGGTTTCCTGCAAATACCTCAGAACTCTCTTGATGCCATTCCAGGCTTGCACACTAGGGTTTGAAGCTTCCCTGCTGAGCAGATTGACGGCAAACGCTATATCTGGTCTGCTCCACTGGGACAAGTACAGCAAACTCCCTAGGGCTGACTGAAACACCTCAGCATTTTCGAACACAGCGTGTTCTACTTGCTGACTGTCCTTCACAAAACTAGTCTCCATAGGACTTCTCACTCCCGCACAATCGCTCATCCTGAATTTCTGAAGCAGTTGCTCAATTTTACCTCTCTGGCTGAGCAAAAAACTTCCATCTTGTGCTCTGACAACGTTCACACCTAAATAGGTTTTGACAGCACCAAGCTGCTTAAGCTTGAACCGTTTACCTAGCTCTCTAGCAAACGTCTCTGCCTGTTTATCTGTCTCTGAAAAAAGCAGCAAATCATCGACAAAAATCTGAACAAATTCCTGTGTTGTACCTGATCCTCTCAAATAAAGGCAACTATCAGCAACACTTCTTTTGAAACCTAGCTCTTCTAAGGCTTCATTCAGGCACATGTTCCAGTTTCTGGCTGATTGACATAATCCATAGATGGACTTGTGCAATCTCCACACAACGCCCTGCCTCAAGATCTTAAACCCCGGAGGCGGAAGCATGTACAGCTCCTCCTG